TAAATAGCAACCTCAAAATGTCTGAGTGCTTTTTAAAAGTTAAAGTAGCTTTATGCTACACCTCCAATCTCATCTCATTGATTGGACTCTAGTTTACTTCTGTTGAAGTCATTAGCCTAAGGGCTCACATACTTTTTCTGACCTACACTATCAGCATTTGAATGATGTATTCAATATGGATGAGAACAATATGTTAATTTGTTTTTGCTATTAGTTTAAACAGATTGTGTTTGTTCTTTGTTGTAACTTAGATGAAAACCATAATTTAGGATGACTTTGTACATAAATGAAGGTATTCACAGGGTTCACATACTTTTTCTTCCCCCTGTAAAGTGCTTTACTTTAAGTGGTGGGAAAGGTAAGGGATTGATGGATATGTGCCCTACATATCGTTATTCTCAAAAAGAAAAAAACATACTTTTGGAGTTTTAATTTTCTAAATCATTTGAAACACAGCATCTTTATGCTGTGTGCAAATTTTATGATGAATGGACTAACAAAAGTGGTCCAAAATTAATTGGAGTAAAATCTCTTTCCATTAACGTACATTAAAAAAAAAAGTTTTTGCCTTCTCCTTTTAAAGTTACCACTTTGGAGATACAATATCTCTAAATCTTGTGCCTAAAGCAATTGCTTGGCGATCACTAACATGCTTGATGTCTGAAGTTAGCTTATTTAGCTTTTTACTGCAGCTACAAGGCTAATGTAGCTAACAAGTAACAGAAACTCATGTGTGTAGTTAGCACAATTAGCATTGTGCTAACTGCATGCCTAAATCATCACACATTTGCCTCAAACCATGTCAAGTATTTAATGCTTTAAGACCAAAACTGTCACTGCTGAGACTCACTACACTCTGGGCCTGATGCACTGAGCTTTTTGTTCCAGTTTCAGGCACAATTCAGATGCATTCTGGCTGTGCATTACACACAAAACTGGTGCATGGACCTTAACCTGCAGTTTCTGAACCATGTGCAAAGAAAAATGCAAAATGTGCTTCTCTTCCTCGTACATATGCATACACACACTCTTAGAAATAAAGTTTCTGTGCAGGTACATTTTTTATTCATCAAGATACAAACAATGTAAATGTTCCCTCAAAGGTACCACAGTGGTTTTAAGGTCCAATTGTGCACCTTAAATAAGTTTTTCCAGGTGAAAAGTACATATTTGTACCTTTTTATAACCTAATGTTTTAAAACAGAACAATAAAATTAAAAGCCTGGAGACGAGGCGCTGTGTGTGGAGTCAATACAACTTAGAAAATAAAATTTCAGTGTATTATGGTACAGTTATGTTCCCTGACTAACGGTACTGAGATGTACCCTTGAGGGTACCACCCCAGTGACAAGAGGGGCATTGCCTTAGTGACAGTTTTGTATCTTATTTTCTGAGAGTGCATAATGAGAAGATTGGGCAAAATGCAGGTGGAGATATTACCCTTGCGACTGATTACATAACCTGCCAGATTTACTAAAGTTTTTATTGTTTCATAAGCTTTCATTCTTTGTCATATTACTATGGATAACAAAAACACATTTCATTTACACTTCAAAATCCATCTCTGTTCACCTCTGAACGTGGTTTGAGTGATCTAAGTGTAATCCGTTCACAATGTATCCTGGGTAATGTTGTCGAACTGTAGTTTGGACACATGGGTTCTCGCTCTTCGCATACGCTACACTAATGTGACGTTGACGTTGTCTCTAGTGATAATTCTGTGTTATGCTGTGTTCATATATTGATAGTTAATGCTGGCGGTGGCAGAATTTTCTGTTGCAGTTCCATTGAAAACTATGGAATATCTGGTTTGCCGTCATCCATCTACTGCCAACATGTAAACATAGGATTAGGCCCATAGCTCCAGTGCAAAAGTAAGGAAGCAAAATTCAAACACCAAACACCACATGTTTTGGCTGGTTGTAAGAGGGAAAACTGTGTAATCTGTTTGCTAGACTATGGTTTTAACTGCTAGAGAAAGTTTCCCACTGATCTTACAATAACTGTCGTGCTCTGATGCATTTGGAGAACCAGGCCAGCCCCGCTGCGGTGTGATTACTGAGCTTATAAAGGAGAATTGCTTGCATTGAGGGATCCTGGTTCATGGTCATGGGAGCAAAAATAGGGGAATAAAGGGATGAGAAGTAATAGAGAGCGAGAGGTAATCCCTCTTTGCAATAAGAGTAAGCTGCTAGGTGCCTGCAGGGTGTGGATACGGACCACAGCCCATTACTGAGTGTAATTAAAGCCTGGGCGCTCTTAAGCCACCCCACAGTCCACCCTTCTGCTCCTCTCCTCTCTAAAGACCATCTCGACAGCGACTTTTCCCTATTTGCTTCATTAATGTTCATTAATTAAAAGTGGGCATTCATGGCAAAAACAAAGCGAGGCCTGTTGCTGCCATTTACCACAACATAAATAAGTTAGCATATTCATAAACAGGCAAAGCTAATTAATTTGAGTAATGGATGAATCATTAAACTTGAAAAGAGGCTAATTCAATTATACTAAATTGAAGTGATTAATTCCATTTGTGGGTTATATTTATTAACTGCCTATTAATCACAGATTTGCTCTTCTTCACTCACCTCCTCATGTCTATTTATATATTCACCATTCAGGCCAATTATTGCTCTTTTTGTTTCAGTCTGAAATAACATGCTCTCTCCACTCACTGCGCTCCATTTAGGCTCACTGCGCACACAGGATGGATAAATGCTGAAAACACATTATTTTGATTGAGCCGGCATTAGAAAAGGGATAAGAAAATGAGAACCTGTGGCCACTCGCTGGCCACTGTAGTGAAAACACCCACTTGTTTTTCCACTAACTCGCCACATTATTAAAAACACCTACCTTCTACTTCCACTAACCGGCCACTTTATTAGAAACACCGACCTTGTACTTCCCCTCACTGGCCACTTTATTAGAAACACTTCCTTGTGCTTTCACTAACTGGCCACTTTATTAGAAACACCTTCCTTGTACTTCCACTCACTGGCGACTTTATTAGAAACATCTACCTTGAACTTCCAATCACTGGCCGCTTTATTAGAAACACTTTCCTTTTACTTTCACTAACTGGCCACTTTATTAGAAACACCAACCTTGTACTTCCCCTCACTGGTCCCTACCCAGTTCTCTCATTCATCACTTCTTAAATATATATATATATATATATATATATTATGGCAAGCCAAACAGGAAATATTTTATGAACATTGATATATATAGAATGAACTTTGATATATATATACAATAAACATTGATATATATATAATGAACTTTGATATATATGGATTGAACATTGATATATATTGAACGAAAGTCGCTGTTGAAGGGTTAAGGATGGCCAACAAAAACTGTACATCAATAAATGGGCATTAACAAACTCCAGGTGGAGCTTAAAGGAAGGGAATTCTGATAAAGTGACCAGTAAATATACACAGTGATTCCGTGGACAGAGTGACCTGAGAGTGGCTGATATATGATGTGAAGCTACAGATGGGTGGAGCTTCAATATGTACATAATTTGACATGGTGCAGAAGAAGAGTCAGATGAGGCCATAATTTCTGTTTGAAAAATTGTCTTTCATTGAGAGCAAAGGAAACAATGCCACTTGAACAGCAACTGAAAATTGAGGTAGGTCACTCCTAGCCCTACTCTTTCTTCTGATGGTCACCAAACACAAACACACTCTCACTAACTCTGAGCTGGACACAAAAAAACACAGTAAACACATACACACACACTGTAACTGAAGAACAACAACATAGCAACATTAAATAACAATGTAAACAGTCTGTTTGGGGGTGGGGGGATGCAAGGCTACAACACACACAACCCCAAAAGTCCCTCTCTGTCTAAACAAAACATGAATGAATTTATGAATTATATTATTCATTTTTTCATCTCAATGTTCGATCCATGTACATCAAGGTTCATTAAATATATATACCTTTACATTCCATATATATCAATGTTCATTCAATATATATCAATGTTCATTCCATATATATCAAAGTTCATTCCATATATATCAATGTTCATTCAATATATATCAGTGTTCCTTCCATATATATCAATGTTCAATCAATATATATCAATGTTCATTCCATATATATCAATGTTCAATCAATATATATCAATGTTCATTCCGTATATATCAATGTTCAATCAATATATATATCAATGTTCATTCAATATATATTTATAACATCTGTGTAATGCTGTGTTAAATATGTTTTCTTCAATTTTCCTGACAGTGAAAAATGGATGACTTGTACTTAACGACTGGAATTGGAGGGTACAGTGACAGACCGGAACCCATTTGTTGCTGATGACCAGAACCCGCTGGTGAGTCCAAACATCTATTACATACTTCTGTACTTAGTACGTTTGACTAGAGCTTGTAATTCAGAAATTCCAACCTCTGACTAGGAAAAACAAATAAATGCCTCCTCAACTGGGAATTCCTACTCAGAAAGTCAGGGTGGTTTCAACTCCGAGTTCAGCGTATGAGGTCAAACCAACATGGCTGCTCACAGCATCAACAGTCATAAAGTGGCTGTTTTATGTAGTAAATTATAGTATTATTATCTATATTATTAGCTATAGATCTATCATCATACAGACACATTAGTTGGTCAAATCTGTTTTCAGGTAAATACATCATGCATGTTACACTTATCACTCTTATCAGTAATGTTAGCTGTTTAGCATGTTGGTAACAACACTCACTTTCCAAGAGGTATCCAGTTTTTTTCCCACTGTGCAGTTTGAATGCGTGGAGGTTGAAAATGAAAAGATTTTTTTCCCCCATTTCTAAGTTGTGTCAAAAACAGCACAAGAACAACTCTACCAGTGTGTATTGCTGTAATGTAGTTACTGAATAATAAACCTTGGGAGGTCATACAGCTGAGGGCTTTAATTAATTGATGTAATCTGCAAGGTTTGAGCAGCATTGATTTACTGTTAAACAGGAAGAGACTTCACTCACCAGTCTGCGCTGGCACCATCCACAGACACCACACAGTGCCACGAGCCACACGACACATACCGTTAGACTGACCGACACCAGGAAGACGCTCAGGGACAGAGAACCTACAGAGAGAGAGACTACAGGTTACAATTAGACACGAAAACTCATGAGCCATGAAAAAGTGACAAGTCCCCCTGTAGCGGAGTCCGGCAGCGTTTTTTTTCTAGCACAAATTTTAATGTCTGAACATAAAATTGAAGTGCAAGAATAAAATGCAAGAATTGATGTGGAATTAATTTGTTCATTAAGCTTAAATATCATGCAAGCACAAATCAGGTTCAAATAACATATTATTTTCTATGTATTTTGATTATCATACCAAGGTCAAAAGGTCAAAAATTTATCCCACATCTATTATAAAAATCTATTCTAAAAACTTTGCCTATCGTTTGTGTTATACCAGCTCGACAGGGCACCAGTGCTTGGACCCCGATGATTGCTAACCACAGTATTAGCTTTAGCATTAACTTATTCTTAATCCCTTAAATTGCCAGGATCCACCAGCGGTCCAAAGTTTGATTACACACCTCCATAACCAAGAATAGCTCAGCCAGTTTACACTGTAGTCCCTGTAGTTATTGAATAATAAGCTTTACACTGTTACAAATGATGGTTCTTTACTAAAGAAAATGGAACCATGAACACTTTACATGATTAAATTGTTGTTTGCATGGTGAAATCATTCTTCAGATTGATGGGGAATGTGTTGTATATGGTTCTATATAGAACCTTTCTGAAAAGGGTTCTATACAGCACCAAAAAAAGTTCTTCCATTGTTAAAAGCTTGACATCATAACAATAGCAGGACCATTTTTGGTACTATACAAAACCATATGCAACATATTCTATGTACACCATATACAGCACCATCTTTTTAAAGAGTGTAATATGTAATAAGCCTGGGAATTTAAGGAGTTAATCATTCAAAGCCTCTTCATCTGAAAATGAAAACCTGCAGCGTTAATATCCAGTAGATAAAAGATGTCTCTGGTTTCGTTCATGTTAACATGCTTTTCACAATTATTTTTTTTCAACCGGCTTACACTCATTTTTTTCCAATTTTCAGATGAATGTCAGCACTAAAATGATAAAAAAATCAAGTTTATTTTTGAATAACAAAATGTTCCATGCTCTCTGGAGCACTTTGCATATTTTGTCCCTGCCATAGTATTTAATACCCAAATCTGACCACCAGCTACAAGCCATATATTCAATTCATATCATATTAGAAGTGTAGTAAAGCGGTTAACCAGTTCATCCATTACAGCAGTGTAAAGCGTTTTTGGCGTTAGCTTTAGCCTAACATGGACACCAGACCAGAGCCAGTTTATGAGGAGCCTCGTCACTTCCTATTTCCCTCATTATATCAAAAACAGGAGGGAGCCCACGAGTCCTCAATGAATGGGAGTAAATGGAGCTCAACGGCTAAAAACGAAAAGTTAAAATAGAAAGATGTATTTTATTAAAAAAGCAAAGAAAACTCACCTGTATGTTTTTTTTTTCTACAGCAAACAGGTTTTGGGCAGCAGGATGCTAACATTACTGCTACTGAGCGCTGATTGGTTGGCGAGTGGAGCAGCTCATTGGCTGTTTGTGATCACTGACATCATGAACATACATAAAGCTCCTATAACTCGAGTTCAAAAGCTCTTAAAAAATATAACAGTGGTGTTAAATTGTTATATGCTGTTCTGTGTTCAGGAAATTTTCTAAACTATGATTTTGCTCAAATGCTCCATATTAAGCCATCATTTTGGACTCACTCGGGAGCACCCTCTAGCATTTGAGAAAACTGGAAGACATTACAGAGTGGTAAGTCTCCTCTCTACAAGTTCTTTGACCAGACTGCTGCAGTTCTGTTTTCTCTTGTACCACCTGAGGAGCTGACTCAATCAGCTGCATCAGACCACACTGCAGTCTCAGGGCCTGCACCCGTGACTGACAGGGGTAGGAGGGTGGGGGTGAGTTTATGGGGTACATGTGAGACAAACTGAGGAAGCTAAAGTCTTATTTGAATTTTCTGTTCCACCTTAACTGGTGTGGCAGTTTCATTTAGGTGCCTGTATAGAGACCTGAATGTAACTGCTGCTCCATTTAAGGAGGAACGGAAAATTTGCTGAATGCTGAATAAAGAGACTTCAGCTGTGTAGAAATTCAGACGTGACGTAACATTTAACATTTTGCCTGGCTGGTGGTGCCAGATTTAGAAAGCAATTCAGTGATAAGTTTATCTATATATTGTTCAATTTTCTTTTACTATTTTGCACAATAAAAATATCTCACACTTACGTTTGTTGACAGAAATTGTCCTTATTTAAGAGGGAATTTCACAGATCTCTCAAGATTTTTGCATAATTAAATGGTTAAGATGTAAATAGAGTCATTCAGAGAGGTTTGGTGTGAAATGCTGTTAAAGAGAAACTTGCAGTCAGAATTATTCACAGTGGTGGTGATAGGAACCAGACGTCCACCTCTAAAAAAGCTCCCTCACAGAAAGTTACTACTGATGCCTGATGTCTAAGACATTGTTTTATGATAGATGATGATGTTTTATGAGAAATTTGGCCTAAAACGTGTTAAAATCCTAATAGTAGTCCCCAATAAAAGTTTTGTTTCTAGATTTTCCACTATTTTACCATGATCAACGTTCCATATCAAAGCTCAGAAGACATGTCAAGGTTCACTGGTGGTTTTGGATAGTAAATAAAAGGCTATATTTGTGTTGTAGTCATGGTGACCCCTGGTTCCTATCACCACTACTGTAAATTGTTGGAATTCCCCTTTAAAACATGAACATAAGCCCCTGTTAACGTTCAAAAATAGGTTTACTTATGCATCTAAAATGGTTTTATTTGGAAAGCATATATATATAACCTGATATATACTGAAATTTTAATTACATTATTATATAAATTCTTGGCCATATCACCCACTACTAGTTTCATGGTATCGTTTTTGTATCACATTGTAAGTTATGTATTGAGATGCATATTGTATCTGCACAGTGGGTGGCCAGATGTATCAGAATGAGAGATGTTCTGTGCCACAGAAGCAAAAAAAAAAAAGAAAAAAAAGAAAAAGAAAACTGTTCTCCGCTCCGCACAAAGCTGACGTGCTTTAATCAGATTGAAAGTTTCAGATTCGAGGGGGCCGCACTTGGATAAATGTAAAATAAGCGCATTAATTAGCGGAGGAGAAAAGAGAGAATAATACATAGTGTGGGAGAAAGAGAGGCAAACATAAAAAGAGCAGTCGTGATTCCTTGAGAGAGGAGGAGGAGGCAGGAATGGGAAAAGTTGATTTGAGAATATTTCTAAAAAAACACACCTAATGGAGCGAATTTTGGTGAGCGGAGGGAGGAATGAGAAGCAGGAGAGAGAGAGAGAGAAAGAGGGAGAAAGACAGGGAATGGGAGTTGGTGGTTCAGTAATGTGTCTTTTCTTTCCTCATTCATCATCGCCAGCCCACAGAAAGCACACTCTGCCAAAGGAAAGCAAAAGGACAGCAGAGGCAGAAAGAGCTCTACTGACGTATCGATTCGGGGGAAATTAGCTTACAGATAAACAGTCATCAGAGTACAGTAACATATCTCTGCTTAGAGGAGTCTCACAAGCCACATGTCTGATGAACCAATAGATTTCATCGCTTAGTACGGCCAACAGCCTGCTTTGACAGGAAGGGGCCGTGCAAAGCAACCAATCACGAGCTGCTGCTGCTTCATGACATGTATGAGCAGAAGTAGTGTATGTTTACGCTTCACTAGAGCTTGAATTATTTAGCAGAACCCAACAACTTCAGTTTTTCTCCTTAACTTATTCTTCACTAGTTTCACTACCTTAAATCAGAGGGACACGCTTGAGAGAAAACAGGACATAAACAGCGAATCAATTCAGGAAAGTACAGATTAGTGCAGCCAAAAGAATGTTTGATTTGCTTCGCCAAATATTTTTGACATGTTCAATATAAATCGGTTTTTAAAAACCATTTATATATATTGTTGTTGTTGGAATGAAAAACATTTTTTATGTTTCGACATTTTTGTCATTTAAAATTTATTTTATTTTATGAGTCGTTTGTGCATCCTTCGTCAAATTGCATGTCCTTCTTGATTTGTGAAATCAGTCACACACAAAAGTTTGAACACCCAGTCAAATTACCTAATATAATATATGTATATATGAATGAAGGGGTTCAGTCTGAGGGGTTAATTCTGAAAAGCTTCTCTTTTTTTTCCCATGATGTAGATGGGAGTTAGCTTTACACATACAAAGTCATACAAGTCTCAGTGCTGTATTATGATTAATACTGCATTTATTGGAGAAATAAAAGTGTGTTTTTCATTATACACCAGCTGTTATTCTTTTCAGAAAAATCATTACATCCATAATTGTTACAAATGATTATACAGCATTTTGAAATGAAACTCCAGATTCATTCCAAAATGCTGAGTATTTATATAGAAATGGTCCAAAAATCCTTGAAATAAAACCTCTTTACATTAACTTACATTACAAAATATTTTATCCTTTTCCTGTAAAGTTACTAACACACGTCAGTGTCACTGCAGTGCTGAGAATGATCCACCACCCAAATAATACCTGCTCTGTTGGGGTCCTGTGGGGGTTCTGACCTTTGGAGAACAGGGTAACAACGTATGCAGAAAAACAAATGGACTACAATCTGTAACTGTAGAACTATATATGAACCATATATGCTCCTATATGGTCAGTGGAGCTGACAAAATGGACAGTGAGTGTAGTTACAAGGAGGTGGACTTAATGAAATGGCCAGTCACTGTATCACATTTAAAAAATGATGGTTCTTCAAGGGTTCTTTAATAAAGAAAATGGTTCTACAAAGCACTAAAAAGGGTTTATCTATTATTACAGGGTTGGCACTGTAACAATGGAAGACCCCTTTTTGGTGCTATATAGAACGCTTTTCAAAAAGGTGCTGTACATGGGTTCTTTGAGTGTTCTTGGTTCTCACGGTTCATGGTTCATTTTCTTTCTACTAAAGAACCCTTGAAGAAACCTTGAAGGACCATAATTTTTAAGAGTAA